TCACTCACGTGCAACAGAAGATATTAATAGTATGTGGCACATCTAAAATGTCCTGCCATGGGAGAAATACCTCCATGTATATGTATGCTTAACACATCCCTGGGGACCCAAGCAGGCTGTAAAGCTGAAGAATCAGGATACATATCACCAGCTGTTTCACAAAATTCCACAAATTCAATTCAACAAATGTAAAACTGAAATGCCAAGTATACTAGGCTTGGATCACATACAATGTCAGTGAGTGTTATGTTACCAATAAACCAAAAGCTACATTCAGGATTCTAAAAAGAAAGAGAATGAGAAGCAACAAAAACATCTTACACATTAAAAAATAATTATCATTTTTGCATAACCAATCATTTAAGGTAGCTGAATTGACAATCTTATAGAACAAAAGATATAACCTTCAACCTTACACAACTCATTTACACCCATCTCTTCTCCCTACAATTAGTTAAATGAATACAAAAGACACACCAATGTAGGAATAACTATGAAATTCAAGAACACACTTTCTAGCTCTATATAACATATGAATTATAAAAACTGTACTAGAGCATAGTAACAACAATTAAGTATCATTGAAAGACAAATAATTCTATTTTAAAACAAAATGTTTAGGCAAATAAGATCTTTAATGGCAAGTTCAGTTTCTTTTAGCCATGTTTTAAAGGAACTGAACTGTCACATACCCCCCACACACACACACTCTGAAAAGTTATCCACTTTTCAGGTGAAGTGTTAATTCTCTACTTCCCAATGGAAATTTATAGTCTAACAAATGAGGCATCTTGAAAAAGTGAATAAATAATTATTTTGTATACTTTAATTCATATCAACTTAAATGTAAGTATGACCATTTGCAACCAGAACATTTAGAACACTTTATTCTTTCTGAGTTGCCTACTTATTTGCCAGTCTTGGCTCTTTACGTTTTTAAGGGCAGCATGATAAAAATAGAACCATCCACATTTCACAAGGAATACCACTTTGAACTAGAGGAAAGTATCACCTCATTACCACCAAAAATAGCATATTTTCTGAATGCTTTTTAACCAAGTGAAAATTCAACTGTAAATGAAATTCAGCATCGAGATTCATGGAAAGTGATATGAATTGCAAAATAGAATACCCAAGCTCTGCCAAGGACTGAAAAACCACAAGCAATAGTCAACCCTCACTGTGCATCAGTTTCTCTATCTGAAAAGAGGATTGACACCGACTCCTCCCTAATGTTTTTGAAAGAACAAATGAAATAATTTATGTGAAAAGCCTTTTTAAGATTTTTGAAGATAAGACCCAAGATATAAATGTTATCAAACCATAGGTATAAAGAAAGACAGCATGTACTTTATATCAAAAATAACAAATAGAAAATAGAAAAACAACAAAAATAAATTTAAACCCTTTGGCCTTAAAATTAAGAAGACTGTTCAAGCACACACTGGTGTCACATGTTCAAACCACATTACTCAATACTGCTGTAATTATAGTAATAAGAACCTGCCCATCAATATTATAGCTTAATGGTGAATCACCCCTTCTTGGTTTCCATGTAGAAAACCACATAAGGTTTGATCATTCCCAGAAAAGAAAAAAGAGAAGTAATATGAGAGGGATAGGGAGATTGTTCCCGAGCAATCCTAAGGAGTCACACACAAAAATACCTTGTCCAAGATTCACTAGGTATAGTGGGTGTTCGTGGCATTCTGTCAACACCCTTTCTCAATATTGCAATTGGAACTGAAATAGCTAGACTACTCAGATCTAAAGGGTAGCAGAAAAGAGTCAAAAAAATATTTAAAAATATAGTTTAATACTGCCCTTGATCAATGACACAGACTCCCAGGGAGTCCAAAACAAAAGTTCATTCATGTTTAGAAGTCCATAATTTATGTCAGGCGATCAAAGTTCTTTAATTTTTTGAACCTAAAATTACTCTTTTTCAGGTAAAATTTAAGATGTTTGACTTTGAAAGTAAATTAAAGACAAGAAACTTCAGATAAAGCCACTTAAATTTTCTCATATTTTAACTCAGGAGAATGGTTGCTTGATAGACGCAATAACAATTTTCAAACTAAGTTTTCATTAACAAGTCTATAATTAGATAGTACCTTTTATCCAACGCCTCTACTTCATTAAAGACTTTCATTTTACTTTACCCAAATAAATATTTAAATATTCAAAGCAACCACAAATGGCTTTCAAAGCCTTTAAAGAACAACCTGAGTCAGGCTATATATACTAAAATCTAATTGAAAGGTGACCCTTAAGACAATGAAAGTTCTGTTGGATAAGAGCTTCTCAAAAAAGTAGCTGACTAGATAAACTAGATAGACAATAGATAAGCTAAATTTAAATATAGAAAAATATTCAAAAGGCTTTAAAAGCAACTTCCTACCTATCCTCCAACTACAGATAAATATTAATAAAACATGCAGCAATAAATAACACAGAAAATTATTAAAGCAAATGGGGTATAAAATTTTCCAACACCCTCTTAAAGGGTGTCATGTAAAAAACAAACAGTAATTATCCTCTTTCTAAGGAAAAGAATATCAAAATGTAACACTCTCCTGTTGAAGTGTCCTAATTTCCACTGGAGCACACAGGTAATTTCTAGGAATTTCTTCCGGCCTGGTGCAAACCTTCACCATATGTGAAATCCTGACAATGTTCCCATAATTGAGACCACCTTCTATCAAGGTCCTTTTGTTCGTCAATAACTAAACTTCCTTGCAAAAGTTCAAGTGGATTCACCATATGCTAAATTTTGTTCTATAGCAAATGAACATCAGCACAGGGATGTCTAGTAGACTAACTTAGGCTTTAAATAAGCTCAACTTTGTTTAAAAACCAAAATAAGCAATTAGATATTTTTTAAAAAATCAGGCATCTTCCTTGTAGGACACTTATACACTAGCTTCACATTCAAGAATAGGGTAGATACTGAGTGTGTGTGTGTAATCCCCACTTTATTAGTTATTTTTACGAGCATATACTCAGAGACATACATATATTTATGCTGTGCATATAGAAATAAAGCAGTAAGTTCAGGATGAGGCAATATTTACTGCTTTTCATAAAGAACAAGACAAAAAGATTTAAATGATCATGCCAGAAATTTAAAATTTAACCAGAAAATCGACATGCCATTTATATATTGAGATGAGTTTAATAAACAAATAAAAATGCTTAATATCCACTTAGAATATTTTAGACACTCTTGAAGAGAAAAATCAAAGAGAATCAAGGATTGAAATTTCATGACTGTGACACCAAAACCTTTCCCATGAGCATTTATCAGGATCAACATATCCAATCATAAGCAAAACAAGGGATGCAGAGCTCTTACCACACAAAATATGTTCAAATACTGTTTATTTAATATATCCTTTGTTTCACGCCTATTTCCTTCCATGTAGTTATTTTAATAATAAGGGCATCTGTGGTTCTCTTGTCAACAAAATATTCTCCTTCCAAGTGTGATTACCATTTAATGCTTTTGTAAAATAACAGTATTTTACAAATTACATGAGCTATAGGAGAAAAGGATAGTTGTTGCTCCTACATAATAAAATCACCAATTTTCTGGGTCATAGGCTTCAAAAGTCATGTCATCTAGTTGAGATATTACCTTCAGATACTGCAAATGCTATTGTATTATGATTTGGTTTTCTTTATAAGGCAAATATTCATCAGAAATCCACTTGAGAATTTCAAAAACATTTCAATTAATCTCTACGAGGAATGCTATCTGTCCTGCATATTTCATTGTGGGAGTAATAATTTCTTCATGCAAACTAAAACTACTACTAGGAGACATTCTGGAACAAAAATATATTTAATTTGAAAGAATACCTATAGATTAATGAAGATGCAAGTATGCTTATTTTTCCACCATACAACATAAAGGCTAAAGTTGGCAAAGATTTATCACTCCTGATTTAATCTTGCTATGCTAACTTTATTTTAAATAAAAGTCCTTATCACTGAGAACATAATTCTTTAAACCAGAGGAAGAAAAGGATGCAAATTACTTATTAAGCTCAAATACAATAACCAAGACCTACAGCTACCTAATTTAGTACCAGCCAAGTCTTCAGCCAAAAGAGAAACCTTGTATTAGTCACCCCTAGTCAAGAATTTGATCAAGTTTTGAAAAAAGATGGGGAAGACTTTAGGTCACATCTGAAGAAACAGCAATCATCAAATTCTTATTATGAACCCTACTGCAACTCTTATTGCAATGGTCAGTTCTGACTATTAAAGCTGGAAGAAAGAAGAGAGAGAAAGAAACAGATAAAATCATTCTTGATTCGAGACTCAGTGTTGCAGAGGAGATTGAAATAAAGCAAAAAAGCGCTGGGGAAGGAAATTACTTTTAAAAAGGATCGTTTTTGTCAGGTTTCTAACCAGGACTACGTGAGTAAATATGCACGGCAGGCAGAGCTGAACAAACAAGGGCACCAGATGAGAAGGAACGAGCTCCTGGTGGCATATACTTAACATGGCATAATACTTAACTGAATAGTAGGTAGACTGGACAGTCAAATGTAGGCAAGGGTGTTCTTGAGCATTTCGGTTGATCATTTTCCTCTGTCGGTATTATGTTCACGTGATAGTTTACCTGAAATCCCAAACTGCCTGAAACCCAACAAGCCCCTGAGGAGAGGCCTGAAGGAAGCACCTTTATTGTTAAATGTGCTATCGCCTCTTTCAGGAGTGTCTGCTTCCTGTACTTCCTGGTGATCGGCCACCTCCTTCACATTGCTTTCCAACCTCTGAGTCCCCAAGATTGACTAAAACTCGCAGATTTAAAGATTGCTCAATTTAGTACTACACAGATTCTATGTAAAATCTGGAAAGAAGTATGAGACAAAGACTCACCAGGACCCGCATTTACTCTTGGGTAGGGCAAACAGACGAGCAATTTGAATCATTCCTTGGTCCTTCCAAGTGTTTGCACCCACCTGTCAACGTGCAGGTGATTTCCTTACCTGCATAAAAGCGGATGAGGCAGCCAATCTCCGAGTCCATGCCTTCCTCCTGCACCCTCCACAGCTCCCCAAATCCCAGTTGGAAGAGGTAGTCATTTTGGATCTGCAATGGCTTCTCGTCCGCCTCCAGGCGCCGGGTGGTCTCTCCGTGGAGCTGCACATACAGGGTGGGTGGCGGGGGCGGCGGGGGCGCTTTCTCTGCGGCCGCCCCGCTCCTCCCCGGGGTCGACTGGGGGCTGCCTGGGGCCGCGGCTGCCGCCACCTTCTCCCCTGCAGGCTCACCGCGGGCGACCCCGCTCGGGCCGTCGACGCCCCTCGGGGCTTTCTGCTGCGGCCAAGGCGGGGAGGCCGGGGCGGGGCGGCGGGGCTGTCCTGGGGCCCCCGTCGGGGCCGGGTCGGTGTCGAGCTCCTCCGACGACGACGAGGAGCCGCCGCCGCTGCTGTAGGGGTCCAGGCGGTCGGACACGCTCTCGGCGCTGGGGCTCAGGCTGAAGCTCTCCGTGTCGGAGGCTGGGCCGGCGGCCGAGCCATCCAGAGGCCGCGGGGTGCCGGGCGGAGAAGCAGGGCCCCTCGCGAACGGTTCGCCGGGGCTGGAGTCCGAGGGCGCGGGGCTGGCGCGGGAGGTGTAGCGCGCCCACCCGCCCCGGCCGCCGTCGGGCAGAGGCAGGTCGGCAGGAGGCGCGCGCGGAGGGGCCCCGACGGCACCCAGCGCGCTCCTCGGAGGCGGCGGCTCCAAGTCCCGAGGCTCCGGCGGCAGGAGCCGGGGGCCGGCATCGGGGGGCAGCTCAACGCCCGACCGGGAGGCGGCGGGTCTGGACCCCTGGCCCAGCACCTTCACCACGCCGCCGCCTTTGTGGCCCTGCTGCAGCAGGCGGGCGGCCACCTCGCCCGCGGTGGTGTCCAGAGTGCAGAGCACCGGGCGCAGGTAGGTCGAAGCCATGTGGCGGTCGAAGACGTGCACACAGCCCCGCTGGAGCTGGTGCCTCACCCAGTCCCTGTCCGACGGCTGCAGCTGCATTATTTGCCGGTGCTTCAGGAGCAGCGTCTTCCTGTCCAGGCTCCGGGTGCACAGCGACGCCGAGGCCGAGCAGGAGGCGGAGAGGCCGGCGGCTCCGGGGGAGTGCGAGGCGGCAGCGGCCGAGAACGACGACGACGAGGAGGACGACGAGGCGGCGGCGGCCGCGGACAGATTCCTCTTCAGCCGCCCTCTCCTCAGCAGGAGGGAGTTGGCGCCGCTGCCGACCCCGGACACCGGGGCAACCCCGCCGGCGGTGGGCTGGGGCGCCCCGCGCCGCCTCCTGCGCCCGGTGCCCCCCGCTCTGCCCGGCAGCGGCCCCGGGGGTGCCTCGCCGGGGGCCTCTTCCCGCGCCCCGCCGCCGCCGTTCCCGCCGCTCTGGGCCGCCGGGGTCAGCGCGGGCTCCGGGCTCCGGCCGCCCCCGGCCGCCGCCGCCAGAGCTGCTGCCGCCGCTGCCACTGCCGCCGCCGCTGCCGCCGGAGCTGAGGCTCGGTCCTCCCTGCTGGTCTCGGGGAGTCGCTGCGCCGTGGCCGCGGCGGCGGGCTCCATTGCAGTGGGGCTTCGCGTTTCCCCCCCAGCTCCGGAGGCAGCGGGCGGAGAGGGAGGAGGTAAGGCGAAGGTGGGAGACAGCGGCGGCGGCGGCGCGCGGAGAGGGAGAAGCCAATGGCGTTCGGCGCGGCCGTTCCAGGGGATTATGTGGCAATTCGGAGCATTCCGTCGGTGTCTCGGTGTTCCATCCCGCGCGCCCGCCTCGCCGCCACCGCCCCCCCACACACGCCCTCCCCGCCCGGGTCGCAGGCTCCCCAGAGCCAGGCCCCGCCCGCTCCCCCCACCTCACCCCGGCGAACCAGCCGCGGAGCTGGGCTCATTGAATATTAATCAAGCGCCGGGAGCGGGAAGGCGGGAGGCCGGCAGGGCGGGAGCTCCGCGCGGGCCTCATGAATATGCATCGTTAGCATGACCGCATTCCAGGGCGGAGTGGGGCGAGCAGGAGGGCGGCGGGGGCGGGGCTTCAGGGTAAACAAACGTGACGCGTGCGTACGAGGGCGGGGCGGGGGCAGTTTCCCGGGAGGTTCCCGAGCCGGCCTCGGAGAGGGGCGGGAGCAAGCAGAGGGGCGCGCGGTGCACCTTGGGAGATGTGGTTCTGGTCCGGGGCCGGAGTGCCCATGGGAAACAAAGCGAACCACAAGTCCCAGTGGCCCTTAGGTTCCGCCCCTCCTTGCTGCCTGCAACTGGGCATGGCCAGGGAGTATTGTGCCCTCTGCTGTTGAACTATGTGCCTCGGAATACTCTTACTCATTAACTTGTACGTTACCCACCCGCTCCCGCTCGCTAGATAACTTTTATTTTCCCTGCTAATTGAAAGTGATTGCTTTCAGGGACTGTAAACAGTACGAAGGTCCTGGGTCCTCGGTCCTCACCTCTGTCCATTGAATGAGATACAAATACACACCCACACACAGGATCACTGGCCGTCAGAGTGGGCCAACCTCACTTTCCCCCACTTTAAGGCAAGGGGAGAGGCAGTTTCTGGGAATTCTAACTGAGGCAATCCTTGAGTGTGCTTGGTGGAAGTCGCACAGCCCTGAGCCCATCCTCTCCTTCTTCTGTATCTAAAAGAGAAATGACAAAGGACGGGGGTTTCATTGTTTCCCATTGATCTTCAAGTTTGAAGTAGCTTAATAACATGGAAAGCAGTAGAAAGTAGAAGGAACGTTAGAAGGGGACATCGTGGGATATGAGATGGGCTGTTTCCTTGTTCTCTCTTAATAACGTTTCTGTTTGTTCTTTCAACATCTAGAAAAAATTATTTTCTACAGCTACAATGTTTAGTTGTAATCTAAAAGTTGCACTTTTTTTGTCAGTTGAATCAATATTGTAGGCTGGGCGAGGACAGTTTACTTTTTAAAAGAATTTAGTAAGCCTTTTTAATTGAATTACCATTCCCCCTGATTGCTTTATAAATCTGGATTTTCACATGTGAGACTTTTAAACAGTTTTAAACTATATACTATCCAGGGCCTGCCTTAACCCCAATAGTTAACTAAACTTGGAGATAAAAAGAGAGTGGGAGAGAAAAAGATATTAATATCAACCGGAACTTGTAGCAAGGAAAGTTGTACTTAGGTTATCCATACAATTTCATTGAACAGGAATTGAGGAAGGTACTGGAACAAAAAAAAAAAATATTTCTCAATGATTCTTGAAATTGCTGATTATTTTCTATATTTTCTTTTAAAGTTTTACCCCTTGTCCTCATGAAGCTAATTTTTATTCCATTTAAATTCAATCGGCAGTGACATTTTTAAAATAAAGGAGATTGCAAGTTCTCCCAAGAGAAAATATATTCAAGTCTATTAATTTAACAAATAATCATAAACCTATATTATGTATCTGTCACTGTGTTACAGCAATTAAGTCGTACACAGTCCCTGCCTTCATAGAGTTTATAAATGAGAAATAACACTCAACAAAGTGAGAAGGGGAAAATACAAGGTGCCGTGGAAATAGACATAAAACAAGAGAAGATAACCTAGTCTAGGAAGTAGGAGAATTGAGTCCTAACTGAATGAAATTTTTTGGAGCGAATGAAAATGTGTGCTTATTCAAGGATTAGTCTGTGAAAGAAAAAAAAAAAGCAAAAAGGTAATGATTTTGAAGGTGAATTTAAACTACACTAATCCATATGTTGCCTTCAGTAGCCCCTAACACAAACTATTCATTCTAGACATTGAAAGAATAGCATTTTAATTTAGGCATCTTTTAGTCAGATGAAAATGCAAGGCACATGTTAAATTTCAGTATTAAAATATAGAATTCTTTCTTATACCTCTTCATGTTCCTTAGTTGACTTTCTACAAACCTCTTTAATTTTTGCTATATTAAGAAACATATGTTAATTCTCATATATCTGCTTTCTAGCGTTATGTTTTTTTTTTTTTTTTTTTTTTTTTTTTTGAGACAGAGTCTCGCTTTGTTGTCCAGGCTAGAGTGAGTGCCGTGGCATCAGCCTAGCTCATAGCAACCTCAAACTCCTGGGCTCAAGCAATCCTTCTGCCTCAGCCTCCTGAGTAGCTGGGACTACAGGCACGCGCCACCATGCCCGGCTAATTTTTTTTATATATATTAGTTGGCCAATTAATTTCTTTATAGTAGAGACGGGGGTCTCGCTCTTGCTCAGGCTGGTTTTGAACTCCTGACCTCCACCAATCCACCCGCCTGGGCCTCCCAGAGTGCTAGGATTACAGGTGTGAGCCACAGCTCCCGGCCCTAGCCTAGAGTTATGTTTCTTTAGCTAAAGTAACAAGCCCTAAAAAATTTTCTTCTAAGCATAAATTCTGGGCCAGTTGCAGTGGCTCATGCCTGTAATCCTAGCACATTGCAGGGCCAAGGTGGGGTGATGGCTTGAGGCCAGGAGTTCAAGACCAGCCTGAGCAAGAGGGAGACTTGTCTCTACAAAAAATAAAAATAAAAAAATTAGCCAGGCATGGTGGTGTGCTCCTGTAGCTACTTGGGAGCTGAGGCAGGAGAATCACTGGAGCCTAGGAGTTTGAGGTTGTAGTGAGCTCTGATCACACCATGGCACTCTAGCCTGGGAGACAGAGCGAGACCCTATCTTAAAAATGAAATTTAAAAAATTAAATAAAAAAATTAAATAAAAAAAAATTGAAAAATTCTGTCACATTGCTCTTTTTCCAAGAAATTATAGTACTGTAGTTAATCTATGTCTGGCTCCTGTCACTTAGCTTTACACAGTCACTCTGCTCTGCCTTTTTATCTTCTAGGAATTTTGTTTACCCTTTGAAGGTATTTATAACCAAAACATCTTTTCCAAGGGGAAAAAATGTTGAACCAAAGGCATTACTTGGAGAATTTAGTATTCAAAGTATGGGGGAGAAAGTCTGGGGAGCCATCATACACTCCTGGCAGATAGGGACTTAGTACCAGGGATACCTGATACCAAGTTGGGGGTGTGGGGGAAAGAAATAATGTTAAAGTATCTCAGCATAAAGAAAAAGGAAATACATTCCCACCTCAAAAAAACAGTGTGGGGAGGTGGGGTTATAGAATACAATTTTACTAGAATTCATGCATAGAGTCTATAATCTGAAAGATAGCATATTCTATTGTATGCAGAATAATAAAAATCGGAGTTGAGAGGAGAGCAGAATGGCCAGGGTCCACAATGCAATCCTTCCCTTGTTCTACCCCAGACCTTCAGTGAAGTTACTAAACTTGGGGTGAGAGGAGAAAGAGAAAGAAAATGGGAGTTCCTGAAGAATAGGCAGTCTGCTTAACACCAGATCAACTAGAGCCTTGTAGGTGAAATAACGAATTGATAAAGGGCAATGAAACTTGTGCTTAGAGATTGCTAGTATTGTGAAACATCATCCAGACCATCTGTGCCAACCCACGCTATACAATTTCTCCGAATAAGGAAAGGATTTCAATAAAAGACAAATGTATTCCAGATACCCATGAAATAGCAGCTTCTCCTACTTAAAAGTAGAATGGGGAATATGCCAGTATCCTAAAACCATGTAAGTCATGAATGCCTCCCCTTTAAAGTGTTCCAAATGTATAATCTAATACCGCATTTCTGACTATCCACACTTTTCAAAAAATCCAGTCTTAAAATGCTAAAAGATAATCCTGAAAAGAAACATCAGATGTAAAAGTTGTAAATCCCGATGCCAACTTGTTAAAATATTTTCACAGCTAAGTTTAGAAAAAGATAACATAATTTTCAATTTATGGCCACAGTTTACTTTCTGCTGTGTGATTTATAACTGACTTGCTGTGTTCTGCATCTAGGTTAATCCTGTCTGCATCCTTAGATCTAAGATAAAAGAAATCATCTTTGGAGGTTTTTTTTCTAATATAAGCAGTTGGAATTTTAATGGAAGCATGAATTGATAGCAGGGATGGTTTCAGTCTGAATTGTCAAGGGCTCAGCTATGTCCAGAAATAAACTCAGAAAGATGCAATATACAATGTAATACATTTAGTTAGTACATTATGAACAAGGGATCTAATTATAGTTTCACATTTTTATATCCCTTGAGCTACTAGTGGTTTACCATGCCTAAATTGCTCACTGTTTACTCATTCTTTTTTACTATGAGGGACCCATTTAGCAAATTACTGCTCTAGTGCACTAAATGGGCCCCAGGTGGCCAAACTGAATTAATATGTTCCCTGTTCACTAGCAGGATGAGACCGTATGGTTTCTCTAAGATATCACCCCTACCTCATAAAACTTACAATTTGAATTCTATCAAGAGCTTAGATTGCTACTATCATCTTTGGTAGTCCATTTTATTGATATGATTTGATAGCTTTTCAGATTTTAGTGCACCCTTTTAAATCCCATAATTCTTTATCTTTTTCTTACTTCTCACATCCTGCCTTACTGAAATAAACAGATGTTCTGTGTATCACAACAATGAAGTTTTAGACCAGAAATAGAGGCCATGTAGACCCACCCTCTTCCCCTAACAGTGTAAATTACCTGGGACATTCATTCAACAAGTGTTTATTAAACTTTTATGTGTAGGTATCACTCACCATAAGTAGATAATATAGACAAAAATATCTGCCCTAATAAAGCTTTTTAAAAGAAAATCTTCAGTTAAAATCAACCTACTCTTTTCTTTTGTATAGACAGTTCTTGCTTTAAGCAAGTGGGATATATGAAAATCTAGATGTATGAATTATATATTAGAGTATCAATATTTCTTCTCAGAGTATCATTTATTCTTTCCCTTACAAATGAATTCATCGTACAATTGTTTTAAATACTTCTATAATATTAATACATTTTAAAATATATTAACTTGAAAAGTTATTTTGTACCCAAGCTTTTTAGAAACATATTTTGGATTATAACCTGTCCCAAACACCCAATATCTCTTTCCATCAAGATTCATATCTATCCAAAATCCATCTGCATCATCCCAAAGCATTTCTTCT